CTTAATGCTGACTCATAGGACACACCACAGATATACAGCTGTACACATATTATTAATATAAGTAGGAACTATGGGTCAACTTGCTAATCTATTGCTGAACAGTAAAATGTGTTTATGACACACACACATACTACAGATCTAGGCCTGATTCTTCTCTCACATTAGGCTAAATAAGGAACAACTCTACAGAACTCAACGGAATTACATGAGCATAAAACCACACACATACGCACACATTTTAGAATGTTACCTAATGGAACAATGAAGGTACCCCCTGCATGAATGTGTTGCGCCAAACAGAACAGTAATGTCTCAGCTCTATGATGGGTGCCTAAGCCTAGTGCAAACTTTCTTTTTCCCTGTCTTGCTGCATGTGTGTCTATACATAATTTCTATTCTTTAGCCCTTGTCTAATACCTTTCATCCAGAGATATCAAAGCACTTGAGCTCTTTCAGAGTCTGCCAACCCCCTGCTACAAGAGCTATAACACATCATCCAGCCCCATGTTCTTAGAATACTACTACTAATACTTTGCACATAGCTTGTTTCATCCAAGAATCTCACAGTATGTGACAAACTTCAAGTGATATAGAGCCATAAACACCCCTGTGAGGCACAGTAGATATTATTATACCTATTTCACAGACAGGTAAACTAAGGCAGAAAGATATTTAAAAAAATAACATCCCCCAGATCATGCAGCAAGTCAGCAGTGGAGCCAAGAATAGAACCTAGAAATCCTTGCATCAGATTCTCCGCTTCACTGAGCTTCTACTTGGCACAGTAGAGAGGGGGGAGGCTCTCAAACAACCACAACTGACGTAGCACCGTGATTCTACACTGAGCTGAGTCCTAGTGTAGGTTAGTGGAGCCTAGAGGCAGCTCTAAATTCTAACAGCTATTTAGGTACCTAACTCCCACTGAAGCCAATGGGAGTTAGGCACCGAAATACCTTTGACGATCTGGGCCGATACGCCTGCTGAACTGGAGCACAATGTTCCAGCCACGCCCTCTTCCCACCTCAATATTCTCCCCATGCTGGGAGCCAAATACATGTATGAGGGGGAAGATGTTGGCCCGGTCATCTGGTAAGCCAGCTATGACCCAGCTGAGAGCTGTCCCATGCCAGAGAAATTCTCAGCTGGCCAGAGGTGTCTGCTTTCTGACCCCTTTGAGCCACTGAAACAATGCAAAAGACTGGAGTACAATTGAATAACATGCTAGATGTTATTCACCCACCAACCCACTCTACCTCCCTGGAATGATCAGAAGTGTATCATTCTTGTGACAGGAACACTCATGCTTCATGAAGAGTTGCCAACCCTCAACGTTAGTTTTGGCTTGTATTTCCTGTTAGGTCATGTGTGGGGGGTTTTTTTTTTTTTTTGGAATAAAATATTAGCCAAATTCATTCTCAGTTACAGTGAGGTAAATGTGGAGTAAGTCTGTTGATTTCTGTGGAATTACTCCACATTTATTTACATACTCATATTTCCTATTGTTATACAACTGGACTTTCTGCTGGGAAGAATCAACAAAATAATATCTGCCACTGGGCGGCTGTAAACACCGTTCCTGGTTGCAGAGATAGATAAACAGTGACAGGCACACTCATTTTTAACACACAGTGAAAACTTTCTTAAGTAATCACTCAAGAGACTTGCAGAGATTGGTTGATTTTGTAACAAAAGTGGGACAGAATTCCATTAGGAATGAGGATACTGTACTTTGGGATTGTTATTATTATTATTAGACAGGATGATATATAAATAGACAGGGGGAGGGTTGTATCAGTTTTGCTGACCTTTACAGTATAGTCTTCTTTAGAACATACTGTATGTATAATTCACTGATCACTGCACTGTACATAAAATACTACAATATCATTACCTTTGAGAATCATGAAATTTCTCTTCCTAAAATATTCCCATCCTCTGTCAGTGGGAGTCTTTTACACACCTTCAAATCTATGGCCTGCTTTCATTATTTTTCTCCACTCTGCTTCCTGAATATATAGGTTTGGGGTCTGCAAACCTTTCTTCAGGTGAGTAGTCCTGTTAATTTCAATGGCAATGTTCCATGTGAGTAAGGACTATTTGCATGAGTAACGGTTTGTAGGTTCAGGTGCTTGTATATTATCCTCTCAGTCCATTCAGTGTCTCCCCTGTGGTACAATGATTTTATTTGGAAGCAGTGGGTACAAACTTAGTTGTGAAGGATTTGGATCCCGGTCCTACTTCCACTGAAGTCAACAGTAGGTTTGCCTCTGACTTAGACCTTTTGTGGTTGTTTAAGAATTTTACTTTTACTATATTTAGATGGTAAGCTCTTTGGAACAGAGAATGTCTTTTTATTCTGTGTTTGTGCAGCACCAAGCACAATGGGGTTCTGGTCCATGATTGGGGCTCTTATGTACTACAGTAATAACATAATAAATAAAATAAAATAAAATAATAATAATAGAACTGATCATCCATCTTCTGAAAGAAATATCATTTCCCCACCCCTTCATGTTTTTACAGAGCAAAAATATGACTCCATAGGACCAATTAGTCTACCTTTGTGATCTGGTTAGATTTGTGATTACCACTTAGTCTAACTGATGTACAGAATAGGCCTATCTTACGCAGATTACTTGATGAGAAAACTAGTGTACTGAACTTTACCTGCTCTTCATTATATAATGATGGCCACTGTGTGGTTCCAGGGCTGGAAACTATAATTTCCTTGCCTTATCTAAACATCAAGAAAAGTGATTTGTATCTAAGAGGTTTTTTTCTTTTCTTTCAATTTTTATTAACCACTCCTTGTATGATTAAAAGAGTGATGTATGTAATGTACGCAGAAGAAATTTAGATCTGGAAGTCAGATTTTCTGACTCTTTAAAATAATATTACAGTACTCTTAGGCTGTCTACATTGGGGATTTTTGTATAAATGTAGCTGCACTAATGCAAACTCGCAGTGTAGATGTGCTGCACGGGTGTAAGATGGGGCTTGCACTCATGTGACTTACCCTGGTCACTTATCCTGGGGTAGGTCACACAGAAACATGCCGCATTTTGCACCACGGGAGTGGGTCTGCATTAGAGCTTTCTACTAGTGTAGGTACACTAATATGGTTACACTCGGGCAAAATCCTTAGTCTAAATAAGCCCTAAGTAGTAGTCTAAAATATGCACACACAGCTATATGGATACATAGCAACACACATGTGAACATGCCATTGCACAATACTTCAGATTTTTTAAAGGGGAACACGTATAAATCTTCATGCATTTCTGAATTTATGATTAGGATCAAATTTTCCACACACACACACACACACACACACACACACACACACACACAGCATAGACTGGGAGTCAGATCCTGCAAACTCTTACACAGGAGTAACTTTACTCACATTGAACTCAATGTATCTGCTTATGTGAGTAATATTACCCACATACTTAAGTCCTTGAAAGACTAGGCCCCGCTGAGCTCAGTCACTGCAGAAAAAGTTGCCCTTTTTGTGGAAAGATTCTAATACTCTCTTTTCCTGCACAGAGCTAATTAAGATTTCTTGGAATAGAAAAACAAAAATGTGCTCGCTCTGTCTATCTGTGTCTCTGTGAGGTTGGCAATCCACACCTCCTTCTGCAGGTTCAGAGAACTTTCTGCCCCCTGTTCACTCCAGAGGCTATGTCTTTACTGCAAAAAAGAGGTATGGTTTTACATCGAGATAGCTATCTCAGTATAAAATCCTAGCAGAGACAAGTCATGGGTTGTTTTTACCTCAGTGTAGCTAGTTGAGGTCAACCCTATAACCACCAGCCAGCGTTATCTTAGCTACACAAGGGTAAAAACTGCAGTGCCTTGCCTCCACTATGGATTTTATATTGAGATAGCCATCTCAACTTAGCTGTCTTGATTTTAAATATCATCCCTTTTCATAGCCAAGAGCCGGTTCTTGCTCCCAAATGGGAGTTGTGCGTAAGCCCTGCAGGAGCTGAGTAAGGGATAGCTGTATCACATAGCTCGCATCAGGAAGGACAGCCTTCCTTCTAGACCCACATTTAAGATGCTATCCTACAGAAATACAGGGGGCAGATCCTAAGCTAAGTGAAGTTACTACAGAGCTATGACAGTTTACATCAGCTGAGGATCTAACCTAAGGATCCCGATTCTCCATTGCCCTGCATCTTTAGTCATTTCCACCAGGGCAAAGTAGGTAGTAAAACACTACCCCATCGGAAAGGTAGCGGTTTGCACCCTCTTTGTACAGATGCAAATGACCAAAAAGGGGCAGGGCAGAGGAGAATCCAGTCCAAGTCATGTCCTCACTTTGGGAGAACTGCACCCCTGTGCAGAAGGACACTACAAGACAAGCCTAGGCACCACTTAAGGCTTCAAAACAGGATGTAAGTGGGACTAAAATAGCCTTAAACACACTGGCCATGCCAGAGGTGCATTTAACCCCTCCCCCCAAATACTGTACTGAAAGCTAAGGTTATAAAATATGCTACTTAGGTTAGAGAATTAATTTGAACCCACCTTGTTTTGAAGCTTCTTACAATATGACTATTTTTGGTACTTATCCTAGGGCTGCCTCATGAGCCTTGGAAGCTCAGCAGCCTGTGCACTAGATGCAAGCAACAGCCCATGTGTGGGTTAGGCAATGACCCAGGATCTTCTTTGTGAAAAGGAACTGAAGTTGAGAGTTTAAAATAGTGCAGCAAGTGATATACATAGTAAGATCAAGCTGAGGTTGGAAAATGGATCGTGTATCTTTAACCCACAGAAGAAGAAACTTTTTTTTTTTTTTTTGCTAGTTAACAATGGAAACTTTTTTTTAGTGTTTCCCTCCAGCGGTCCTGCCAAGCAATAGAAAGGAAAGAAAAAAAAAAGAAGAAGAAGAAAAAAAATGAACCTTGTTCCCCAGGGTTCACCCCCAGCCAGGCTCACAACTTCCTTCCTGCCTTCCTACCCTCCGCCCCTCCCCGCTCTGCTCGCTAGCTCGCTCGCTCGCTCGCTTTTAATCGCACATTGAACAAACATTCAAGAAACTGCAAAGCTGAAAGTGACAAGGCTGCTCGCGCGGTTGGCGGGGAAAGGAGAATCAGTTAGCAACACAACCAATCGGTGAAGGCAAGCCCCACGATCCAACACAAAAAGAAACCAGCCCATTTTAAAAAACCTCTGGTATATAATATAGACGGCTACATTTTTAAATCCTGATCTGGATGAGGAAATGATTTCTGGAGCATTTTGTGTGTGTCTCAGTTCCTGCGGGTGTTTCAAGGGGATGTGAACTAACAGGACTGTGAAGTCTGCATGAGTCCCTGATATACCAGGTAAGGGTGGACTGTTTCATTCGATTTTTCCCCCCTTGGCTTTCTCTCGATTAAGCGGATCTCTCTTTATCTGGGAAGAACAGCAGGGCAGGAGGGTTGGATCATGGGGGAAAAAATCGCACAAGTTTCACAATGTTTCTCAAACGTGCCTCCCTGTAAATGCCATGTCAAGCCTTCTTCTTCACTCTTTAATGAGTAACTGTCGTATTTTCATCCCCCGGCATTAGCTAGTGCAGTATGCTGCAGGCAGGAGCAAAATAGCTGCCTTTTCGGGCAAGCTGAGCGGTAGCAGCAAATGCTTGTTTGAAAAGATTATTGTGGTGGCAAAATGCAGTTAGATCATTTTCTGTGAAACGTGTGAACTGGTCGTTCTGAAAATAATTTACAAGAAAAATACAAATAGGCTTATGTGCGCTCCGGAGCTCTCTGCAGGGAGGGGAAAGCAAGCTGTCAGCAAAACTGCTCAGCCGTCCGCCTTATAGTGCATCTCTGGACAGGAGTTGAGTATGAAAGGCTCTCAGTTGGCTCTCCCACTGTATAGCAGGATAGGCGCGTTCAGATGTCTTTCTCCTGAACGCTCCGATAGAGATGGGCACGTACACACACACACGCGCGCGACATCAGCACACACCCAGACACTCACCCGTTTGCACACTGTCACAACATGACCCAGTGCGAACAGCAGGCTGTAATTCTAGAGGTGCATAGGCACCGAGCTAATATCCAGGACACCCCGTTGTACATGCACATCGCTGCAAATTATACCCCGGAGCGAATTGATGCTTTTTAATTAATATTAATACACAATACAAAGGCATTTAGCATATAGACTCACAAGGACACACAGAAATACACATGGACATACAGTTGCACACACGTCCATTCAAAGACACATCTACAGCTTGTGTATGCACACCTGCATATAAATAAATATTTACACATACACACAACACACTCATGCATATTTTTCATACATAGAATTCAAATGCTCCAATGTGAAAAGAAGGCTGTAATTCTAGCTATACATACAAACATACATGTACAAAGAGACACACCGAGCTAATATAAACAGATGAAGACACATGGACTGAGGGTTACCCACACAGGAAGAATCACATACTCACAAAAGCACACAGAGCTGCAGCACACACCCATACAGATGTCTATACAGGGAACACAAGCTAGACATGCCCAAGAATATATGTAAGACTAATTCAAGAGATGCATACACAATCTTATACCACACATTGGGGACAGACATAGGGTAAACACATCTAGAGCTAACACACATGGAGCTGCACAAAGCCATACAGAGGCACACAAACACAGAGAGCGAACAGCAGACACATGGATCCATAATAAACAAAGCCACACAAAGGCATAGACCTATCCACACTTACACTGAAAAGAAACACATTCTCCAAGCAGAACCTAATTTGATCTTCATGTCATAGGAGGACAGACATATACACACATACCCACAGCATAGACAAAGCCACACCAGTACTTATGCATATTTCAGACAAAATCTTTTAGTCAAAACTTGAAAATTGTTATTTAGAAATTCTGTTGTGGTGCTCTATGGGAGTTGTAGTTTGAGTGTTTCACGCCCTCATTCTCTTCTATAGGCTGGGCTCCTTGGCCAGGCTACACCTCTCATGAGACACAATAGTTTGCCCACTTGCTGAGAGTCCATCCTGAGAGATGTAGTGTAGCTGGAGAGCAGGCCTATAGAGAAGATAGGAGCCAGGAGGCAGGTGAACTACAAGAAGTGTGTGTTTTTAACAAAAAGTTGATTTTTTCCACAGAAAGCAGACACTTTTGTGAAAGATTTTGTTTAGCTAAAGTCCCAGTTTTCCATTGAAAATCAGTTTTGACAGAAGAATTTTGATCAGCTAATGTGAATAGATGTAGCACACACACACACAAATGCAGATAACACATGCACAAGGCAGTAGAAATACACAGGCAGAAGTTATACAGAGCCAGCCAGAAACGCCTCCAAACAATGAACAGATGTAATCAGATGAAGAGACATACAAATACACACCTGAAGTAGTGGACATAAGTATATTTGGCATACTCCATGCCTTGCAGAGACACACCTAACATACACAAAGCTACAGATCTGCACACAGACCGAGTAAATAGACGTACACGTGGAGATACACTCAGATACAGTGAGACACACATTCACAGTAAGTGGATTCAGGCCCTGAGGCGCGCACACACAGCAGCAGTAGATATACATGTATATAAGCGACTCCTAGCGCACGGAGGGCCACAGCAAAGCAAACCATAGTCACTCACCTTTGCTCATGGGCCGAGTCTGCAGCCTCTGTGCCTTGCCCCATGCCCATAGCGCTGTTGCTCCTGGCTCATCTCTCTCTCTCTCTCTCCTCTCCAGCTGATTTGTTTATGGAGCTTTGGGCAAGGGCCAGGCCAGCTCCTCCGCCCCCCTGCGGCTTCCCAGGCGATGGTGCTGCCCCCGGCCCAGGGAGGACCCCCGCTGCCCCACAGAGGCTGACCCAGGAGGAGGAGGAGGAGGAGGCTTGCCCCGCGAGCGCCCGGGCTCAGTACTATGGCTGTGTACTGCTATGCGCTCAATAGCCTGGTGATGATGAATAGCAGCAACGAGGTGAAGAGCGGCGGTAGCCGGAGCCAGACGCCTCCTCCCCGGGGGCAGGTGCTGCAGGTCTCGGAGCTGCACGGCCCCTGCTGCCCGCTGGCCACGCTCAGTCCGGGCGCCGGGAGCCCCAGCTGCCCCCGGAGGAGCTCGGCCTTCCTCTTTCCCCCCGGGGAGCAGCCGCCGCCAGAGGAGCCGGGGAGCGCCGGGGCTCCCGGGGGCAGCAGGCGGCCCAGCAGCCCGAGCTGGCTGGGAAGGGAAGAGCCGTCGCGGCCCCGCCAGCGGGAGCTGCAGAACGTGCAGGTGAACCAGAAAGTGGGGCTCTTCGAGGCGCACATCCAGGCGAGCAGCTCAGCCACCCTGCACCTCAAGAGCCCGCGGCTGGGCAGGAGATCGCCGTCCCCCATCCCGCCCCGCCGCAGCCGGCCCCCCGGCGGAGACCCACGGGAAACGCCCAGGAAGGAGGAGGACAAGGTCCCGACAAGCCCCTTTCCCTGGCCGGAGGCGGAGAGGGGGATATGGGGCCGTGTAGCACAGGATCCAGGAGAGACGGAGAGGGGGCGTGAGCCCCCCCGGGCGCAGGCTTTCGGGGAGACGGAGAGGGGGGGTGGGCACTGTGGAGCGCAGGTTGCCGGGGAGATGGAAAGGGGGAGCAGCACTCTCGGAGCGCGTTGTACAGAGGAGATGAAGAGGGGCGGTGGGATGCCCAGAGGGCTGGGAGCGGAGGAGACGGAAAAGAGGAGCGGATCCTGCGAACAGGAGGGACCGGAGGAGACTGAGAAGTGGAGCGGGTCCCCCAGGGCGCAGAACTCAGAAATGATGGAGAGGGGGAGCAGTGGAGCGCAGAAGTCAGAAGTGATGGAGAACAGGGAGAGGGTTCACACAGCGCAGAAGTCAGAAGTGATGGAGAGCAGGGAGAGGGTTCACACAGCGCAGGGCTCGGAAGTGATGGAGAGCAGGGAGAGGGTTCACACAGCGCAGGGCTCGGAAGTGATGGCGAGCAGGGAGAGGGTTCACACAGCTCAGGGCTCGGAAGTGATGGCGAGCAGGGAGAGGGTTCACACAGCGCAGAACTCAGAAGTGATGGAGAGCAGGGAGCGGGTTCACACAGCGCAGGGCTCGGAAGTGATGGAGAGGAGGAGCGAGTCCAGTGGAGCGCGGGGCTCAGAGGTGTTGGAGCGAGGAGAGAGGACCCACAGCGCGCAGGGCTCTGGGGTGATGGAGCGAGGAGAGAGGACCCACAGCGCGCAGGGCTCTGGGGTGATGGAGCGAGGAGAGGGGACCCACAGCGCGCAGGGCTCAGGGATCATGGAGCGGGGCAGGGTATCCCTAGAAACTCAGGGTTCCGCCTCAACAAAGGAGGGGAGCCAGAACTGCGGATCGCGGGGCTCGGACTCTTCAGCCGCCCCGGAGCAAGGGAGGGGTGAAGAGCAGCATTGCCCCACCCGGACTGGCTGCTGGGGGGAGCTCGGGAGTCCGCTGGACTGGGCTGTCTCTATGGAGGAGCTGTGCCCAGTGCCTGGGAGCTCCTTGGGAGCAGTGGATCAAGCCTGTGCCCGGCTGCAGCAGGACCACCCTGGAGACGGTCAGCTGCTGGTGACAGCAGCACCCACAGAACAAAAGGGGAAACCCCCCGGGGAGGGCTGCTGCGGGAGCAGTATCCCCGCTGTCATCATTACTGACCTAGGGGGTCAGGAGGAGGAGGCCGGGGAGAGCCCCCGAGTGAACATGCCCATCAGGAAGCTGTCTTCCTCTTCGGCTTCTTCCACTGGCTTCTCCTCATCCTGGGAAGAGTCTGAGGAGGACATCTCCAGCGACCCCGAGCGCACCTTGGATCAAGCCCAGCCCTTTCTGCAGACCCTGGACCAGCACAAACCCAGAGTGGTAAGTCCTGCCAAAAGCAGCTTCCCCAGGGGTTGTGGCCCCCAGTGTTGGCTCTAGTACTGGTACCCCAGACTCCACCATGGCTTCTTCCGTTAATGCTGGGCCTGGGACCAGCCTCCCTAACTGTAACCCACCCAGTAGCTTTTCCTGCGTCCTACCTCCCCCATCCTGGAACTTGGTTGCTCACCATGCCAGTCTGCGTTAGACTGCGGACAGGTAAATGACAGGCAAGATCCACTGACTGGGGTAGCTGAGGTCTGCTAAATTGATAGTGTTGCCCCAGATCCTTTGGGAACCACTCTTCTGATGCATCATCACCCTGGCAATTATAGTAAAAGACCTGCTAGTTGCCCTTCTTTATCTCAACTGGGGTGCTACCTCATTAGCCATCATCATTAACTACAAAGCCTGTGTGCTTATTAAACTCTGATGAAAGACAAAGCCAGAGTCAAACTCTTTCTGACCTGCCTGAGATCATATTGATTGGTAGGTGTTTAGAAGATGCTTGCAGTCATTTAAGAGAAACTTTCTCTTTCTCGTTCCCTCTCTCACATACACACACATAAAACCCATCACTGGTAACAGTATGTTGATGGTCATCACCTGCTTTTAGGAGAGATCTTGCACAACCAAATGGAATGCCCAATCTTGTAGTACTTAGGCAAAACTCCTAACCAAGGACTGCAAGCTTGGTTGCAGAGAATTTACCTAGAACTATTTATTATTCTTTTAACTTCAGACTATGGTGTGGTTCTTTTTCTTCTCACTGACACCAGTTTTACACTAGTATAACTTCAATGGGTTCTGAGGAGTTTCCCCTGATTCACTTGCACATTTCCTCTTCTTTCTTTCTTTCTTTCGTTCTTTCGTTCTTTCTTTCCCGCTGTGACATTTGCACACCTTTCACATAAAGTGAATAGCAATAATGAAATCTCTAGTACATTTCATGGACTCTGGCACTTCTCCATTTTTGGAGTAAAAACTTTGCTCAGAGTAGCATTTAACATTTGTTATTAATTTATTTTTATTTATATATTTATTTAAGGTTGGTTTATTTTGTGGTTTAGTTGGTTGGTTGCTTGGGGTTTTTTGGGCAAGGGGGAGGTGCCAGTGTTGTGAGTGTCATTCTTGCGATAGTGGAAAGACCTTTTCAAAGAGGAAGGTTTTGCAGCATTTCCTAAAGATGGTCAGATTCTGGATTCACCTGATCTCCTCTGAAAGATTGTTCCATGGCTGGATCCTCTGGACAAAGCACGCTTTTTCCTTCGCTCTCACATGCTTCGTCCTGAGCTTTGTGAGGTGAATTGTCCCAGAGGAGCAATGTCACAGTGTTTCAGAGATCGAAATTCGGTCTTTAATGTAGCTGGGGCTTGATCCACTAATTGCTTTAACATTTAGGACCGAAGCCTTTAAACTGTCAAATCCTGAAAGCACCCACAACTCTCATTAACTCTAATGGGAGATCTGAGGGCTCTCTAACTCTAATGGGAGATCTGGAGCATCCCTCATGATTCGGTCCATTATGTTTAAACAGCCTTAGGCACATGGCAGTGAAATTCCTGTTGACGGCAGTGGTATGAGTACAGTAGAACATAAACTGAATAGAAGGATCAAGCCCCTGAAGAAATGATGCTTTGTGGTTTGTGAACAACTATCAGGCTGAGACATAAATGAAAACCACCTTTTTTTGGCTGCCTTTTTCTTCTCATAGCAAGGATCCAGGCCCAATTCTGTGGAGGACAGAGAAGCAGCTGGGCAGAAACACTATTGGCAAAGTAATGAATGCTGTAGCTCTTAATGTTTTCAAATAGTTTGCCATATTTAGTTCCTTTGAGTCACTCTCTGGGCTCTTTGTTTTGTGATATTCCTCTAGCTGACGCATTTTTGTTCTGCGTATATTATTTTAGTAATCATTGTCCATCACTGACAACTGTTATCAGCAATAAGTCCTGCTGAACCTGTGCTGCAGACAGTTGAGTGCTAGTGTGGATGGGACAAAACCAGCTTCCATGAGTCTCAAAACTGATTTCTGTGCAAAAGTGGCAAAAAAAAGCTTTGTTTCACCCTTATTGTGGACAAGTGGTTTCCTAAACTGTTTCAGCAGGACCCACTGCTGACAATGGCCCTGATTTAAAGCTCTTTGAAGTCAATGGAAAGACCCCTATTAACTTCAGTGGACTTTGGTCAGGCCCAGTGGTCTAGCAGTGAGTTTGCTAGCATAGGTAAGCTTAATTTGTATTATCAAAGGGCCAGATTCTGATCTAAATCTGGTGGAATACCAGAGTAACTCCATTGACTTCAGTGGGATTACTCCAGTCTAAGTGAGACCAGAATCTGGCCCAAAGTGTCTCCCAGAAATCTGGGGGAGGTTAGCCAGCATTTCTTTTTGCTTGGATAATCCCCATAATACTTGCTGGGTTGCAGCCTCTGTGGGGATTCCCTACTATAAAATGAAGTTCCACTGTGAGCTTGATCCCCTGCTTTGCAGTTTATAGTGAACATCTCACCAGGATTGTGAGCAAATGCCTGGTAATCCAGTGTTGTTTTCTGCAGATCCTTGATTTACTTAAATAACAAAACATGCCCAAACCCTAACTCCATGTTCTCACTGCGAACATTTGGGAATCCATAATGACCACAGAAGGGGGCTACTTGAATGGTCTCCAGTTGTATACATATTTGTTTTCATGGGTTTACCGATTTCCATTTGACAAAGCGTAACTGTCTGGAAATGAAATATACTGTGAAGGAACATGCATAAGGAATTCCGACTACAGATCATACTAACATTTTCTGACAAGATAAACCCTGGTGGCCAAATCCTCAGTTGATGTAAATCAGTTGAGCTCAGTGGTGTTGTGCTGAATTATACCAGCTGGGCCTGAGTATGTGCATCTGCAATTAGTGATATTTGTGTGGGTAGGAAAGGTTACGGCACCTGAAAAGGAGGTAGCAACGAGCAACAGGAAAGTGGTTCTCACTGGAGGTATGTTTGGGGTTGTAAGCTTCATGCTGGGTGTTTACAGATTCAGTAAACAACAGGCTCACTGCTGCCCTTCCTTTCTGGAGGCTATCTGGCTAGAAAAGCTATCTGGGATGTCCGGCTGTCTATTGTAGTTCCTCTTTGTGTTCTTTGTATGGTAGGGCAGGCAACTTCCTTCAGCTGGACTTCAGAACTCGTCCTGCGTTAATGTTGCAGATATGTTGCTGTCTATGTGTATTTTGCAATTCCCGCTATCAGGCCGGCTAATCAGACAATAATCCCGCGAACGATCGGGAACATTAAGTTGTTTAGCATGAAGAATGTGGATGGGTTAGTCACCTCCTTTTGAGACAAGATACATTTAGAAATGAGGTTTTCTGTATAACTCTATAGCTAGGTACCTCCACAGATCTCTCTGCCCCCCGCCCCGACTGATGAGGAGCTCTCTCTGCCCTACCGCTCCTGTTCCTGTCTGCTCAGTAAACTGCCTGTCTGTAAAATGCATTGGGGCCCTGCAGGATGAATGGTGTTAGAGAAGATTGACATAGAAGATATTATTAAGGAGTGTGTTAGTGATTCTCAGTGAAATGACAATAAGCAAATTAGACCATTTTTTATAGTAACTCCTCCCAAGGTTTAAATAAAGCATAAACTGTGCGCGGGTTTCTGGTGCCGTGGTTTTTACTGGGCTGCAGATAGTTGCTTGGGGGAAACCCCACCCCCATTTGTGCAAGCTTGCAAGGCTCAAAAGGCAGCAGAGGTATTGCACTTCTTAAGCAATGTAGGAGGAAGAGCCTGTCCAGGGGAATCTGCAACCCAGTGTGCCGCAGAGCCTCTGGGCCCGCAGTGTGATTGTGGGCTGGCTGGGGAAGGAGAGGGAGTGTGCCCAGTGGGTCCACATGTCCTGCACCCAGCTGCCACTCCAGTCTGGGGGTTGTCTAGCAGCCACCCCATAGACGTGTCAGTGCTTTGCATATTGGGAAGGATTCCTTTTGTTTGTCACACAGGCTCTTTGCTTAGGAGGTGGGGAGAGGGGCTTACTGTCCCAGCAGCTTTGCCCATGCAACTCCCATTGGAGACAATGCAGCTGCACAGGTACAGCAGAGGGGATGATCAGGCCCCTGCAGAGGATTTCACCCTCATTAGGCACCTGATCCTCCTGTTGCAGGGTAGGTGTAACTCCCATTGCCTTCACTGGAGTATATGGCCCTGCATGTGTTTCTTTCCTAGAGGGGCCCTATTCTCCTGCCACAGGATCTGAGTAACTCCTGCTGATGAAGTCAGTGGAATTACTCATGTCTTGCAGCAGGTGACCTGCCCCCCTGCAGCTGGTTAATTCTCCACTCTGACTCTTAAGCAAAAGACTGCTGCAACTTGTTATTGCTCACTATCACCATGTGCTGATCACTACGGTGAGTCGCTGCTATCCAAGCAAAATCCTTGATTCCTCAATAACTCAGCAGCCAGAGAGAAGCAACACTCAGTTTGTCAGAACATCCTTTAACTATTCCCTTTATGAAAATGAAGGCTTTAAACCCCCCCTTCCCCTGGAAAAAGTAGCATGAGATGCCCTTAAGCATTCTTCGTCTTAGCCTTCCCCGGCACTAGTGCAGAAACTGAAGGACTCTGAACCCTGAAGTGTTGCAATCACAAAACTTGCAGCACGTTCCAGAACTCTGTCTCTCTCAACAAGCATCGTGTAATCGCCACTGGCCTAGAGTATGGAGTTTCCATTAACGTGAGCTAAATAGTGAGAGCTTTTGGAAAATGCATATATGATTACTGCAGAAAGGGGAATGTATTTATTTGTTTGCCTGACTGGCAGTGACTGTAAAATATTTCTGTGAGGCAATGTAGCTGTGCCAAGCTCCAGCCAGGCACCAGGCAGACCCCTTGCCTTCTCTCTAGGGTGTTCCAAAGCATTGTCTGACAGCAGCACTCCTGATTTCCTCCCATAAAAGAAATCAATCAAATTCAATATGTTTTCATTCCCATCCAATATGTCATTTTAATCAGG